GTAATTGCAAAAGATTTGGAATTTCTCGATTTAACAAAACCTACTTGAAAGCCACCAACTGACCGAAATTTTGTTAATCCCCTCGTATATGGCTGAAAAACTGTTTGTATATTTATGTATTGTATTGTATATAAATATGTATGTGCCTGCAAATGAGGATTTTTTATCAATATTCAATTCATTAAAATATGAATTCATTGCGAAAATAAATACAATGACCTTGTTCAATTCAATACAAGCCAATGTATGCATGTATGATGGGAAATTATTGTCATTCAAAAGAATATTATAATGAGATTTCATTGATAAAGACTCAATCCATACACTCCCGCGATCAGCGAATATTAATGAAATTTTATGAGTTTACAAAAGACCAAAAAAAAACACAATAAAAAAAGTATCAAAGGCCACCGCCTAAAAACTCAGGTGCAAGTATGTATGACAGTAAGCCTGTCTCACAGCAATCTACACACAACCAAAATGGCTACAAGTCCTCAAAGTAACCCAGACGTGCTTGGCTTATTAAAATACAGTACATAAATCTGCTACAAATTCAAATCAGCAATGAGAAGAAATCTCCACCTCGAAGCGGCTAAACACTTGAAATCGAAAATAAATAACCATCAATCAACAAAAGCAAGCAACAGAGCAACATAAGGATAGCGAAACAAACCAAGAAAGGAGCAAAAAAAAACCAAATATATTGTTCAACCGATAAAATAAAGCGAACAAAACTCTACAGAGCACATAAAAGCAGGCAGCAGCTCCATGCCAATACCACTCGCGACCACATAGCAATCAACCTGAAGCGCGATCCATGAGATTTGCTACACTTCAAATATACAATACTTACGTATATATTTACATTCACAGGTAAAAATGTATTTGCAGTCTACCGTATGACTCATCTCCATGTGATCAGTGAGCATGATTAAACATGACTAAGCCACGCAAAGAACGTTGAAAAAGTTATTGTTGTAGGCTGCTCTAGGCTGGTTTTGGCTTTGGTTTGGAAGGATTGTCGTCTGGCTTGGAGCTGATGGCTGGGAAATATAACCAGTTCATTGTGAAATTCACGCGACGACATTTGTACGAGAAAAAAATGCTTATTGCAAAAACAAAAAAAAAATACAAAAGACTTGGCGAGTCAATAGAAAAAGGAGTAAAGTAGCATTTTATTTTGATTTTTACGCATATCGAGCCATATACGATGGTACTTGATATTGGTAGACCCATACATATATATATAACCCAGCAGATGATGTGAAGGCTTTCTCCAGTTTATGCAAAACATCGAAGCGAACTTAGGTTCCCGTCGTCTGGTATGCTTTCTTCGGATCGTATTCGCCTATACCTCTGTAGCTTCTTCGACGCTAATAATGACGGAATAACTCATCCCGTAAGCTATAAGCTTCCGCCGCTTTGTTATTCTTCAAGCGGGGAATCGCAGTTCGTACTCTATCATTGTCGGAAGATCCGAAACGTCTGTATTCTCATCATCGATTGTGATTTCGGTATCCCTTCTAAAAGGCGTCTCATTTTTTGGAAATTTCATACATTTTTTCATATTCGCGCATGTCAGACTCTACCTACTTCGGTCAATACCGTTCGTGTCACGGTCGACCACAACGTCCTCATCGTACAAGCTGCAGCCCTACGTACGGCTTGTAGCTTAATATGACTCAATTTCATTAAACTGAGCTGTTGATGAGTGCTATCAGAGCGGGAGTAGAAAATTGTTGTCTGTTGTGAATGCAACTTTTCGACGTTACCCCTTCTGGGTGTTTTGTTGACACACTTGTTCGCTAGGCATTGACGGATAATGGTCCGAGTCAATCTTAAGACCCTTGAAACGTATCTTCTATCTTACTACTCTGGCATTAAAACCTTCCGAATTAGATGCCTTTGGCTTGCAGTGCTCATATATGCGTTCTAAGCAATGCTCGTAGATAGCATTTTTGTTCATATCGTTCTTCTTATTTGTTGGAGCTTGGTCGCACATCAGCGAAACGTTGAAGAATTTCGATTTTCTGCGGTTTGTGGATTCGTCCACCGGGGGGAAGGATTGTATTTGAAGGTTGTGTCTCTCTTCCATCACAAATCAGAAACAAAACTCCTTTATCCTCCGTTCTTTATATGGCGACTGTGGTAAAAGAGGACAAGACGGAATATCTCCTGTCATCTTACAAACACCCATCGCATTCGCAACTTGGCTCCCACGTCACCGTTGACAGTTATAACTTTGAAGTCGTAGATGGTTTTGTCTATCTAGGAACCAACATTAACACCAATAATAACGTAAGCATTGAAATCAAGCGCAAAATCATATTTGCCAACAAGTGCTGTTTTGGACTGAGTAGACAATTGAAAAGTAAAGTCCTCTCCCGACGAATGAAAACCAAACATTAAAAGTACCTCATCGTCCCCGTCCTGCTCTATGGCATGGTACGCTGGCTAGGTCATGTGGTCCGCATGGATGCGAATACTCCAACTATGAAAGTTTTCGATGCAGTACCCGCCGGTGGAAGCAGAGGAAGAGGAAGACCTATGGCGCAATGTTGTCGATGCCAGTAAAGTAAGTAAGTATGTAAGTAAAAGTCACAAGGACCGATATTCTTCTGAACTTATCTGGTTCATATATCAGTGGGAATCACCCTCTTGCTAACTCTTAATTAGAACAACAGTCAACTGGGCAGTAACACCTTACCATTTAAGAAACCGGACATTTCAGTTGCAGATCTTTTAATCATAGTCCTTAAAAGCTTTCACTAGTCGAGGCCTTTATCTACTTTAATTAGAGCTAGTTACTATGTGACACGTCCGAAAACATGTCGATAACCTCGTTAGATGAGCAGGATTTACAAGACCGCCGCCCGCCTGCAGCAGCTTCTGTGTTGGACAGACGCAACAATTAGACTTCAGCGAACCTTAAGACGAAAATATCGGAGAGGCTCCAATCGGGCTTTATCCAACTAGCACGAGGGTTGATCACATTGACGGGGCGCGCGAGGTGACTACATCTGTTTATTTAAATTGAATCGTTCTACCAAATTTTGCATGAAAAGGAATCACTTTTGAAACTAGTGTCCTTTGACATTCAAGTTCACTTGGCTATGGGAAAAGATTAGTAAACAATGAGCCAAGTCGCGCTTTTATAGACACACTATACGTGAATACACATCGATATACATATGCTTATATGTTTGAATCTATATTTGTAAACAAAAAAAGGTGCAATCTACGCCTAATGGACGCCCTCATCAGCGCAGCGTGCTTTAGAAAGCATTGGCATATTAAATGAAATTCAATACAATTTTAACAAGTAGTGAAAAGAGCAATAAGAACAACAAGTAAAAATAGGCATTGAAACAACTCGTTTCGCGAATGCGTTCGCGCAAGTTTCTGTTCTTATTTTTTTTTTATTTTTTTTTTTATTTTTTTTATTTTTTTTTTGTTTTTTTACTCGCTGACAAGGAGAGCTCAGTAAAGGTAGATTTTGCTGTTCTTTTCTGCTTTTGTTTATTTTAGTTTTCATTATCGTTTTGCTACTTACATATGTATACACATATAATATATATACACATATAATATGCATGCACATGTTTTTGTTGTATGAATTTGTATTCGTCTTGCTGTATTTGCTTTTGTCATTTACTCCGTACAACATTTCGAATTTTATTTTTTATTACCTTACAACAAAAGCGTCTCGTGTGAATATTTCTTTTCGCTAATGCATACAATATGAACAACAACAATAACAATAAAGTCAGCCAGTAGTTCGTAAATGAGTTTCAGAAACGCATTCACAGGTCGCGCGTTTGCGCTGCGGAGAAGCAGAAAAGTGGAAAAGGGCCTTTGTGCTTTTGTTTACATTTGCAAACCAAATTATTGTCTATGATAGAGCGTAAAGAGTTCAATGCACTGTGCGTGCGGGTTGAATAGAATCATTTTTATTGACTTGTTTACGATATTTGAGGTTATTGTATGGTTCTTAGTCGAGCTACTAGTGATTTTCAATTAATTTTTATTTTTATATTTTTTTGTTTTATCTTTTTTTTTGTCATTTTACGGTTTTGCTTTCTTCAAATATGCTGTTAAGGTTTTATTGCAATAATGTAATAGAGGGTCTATTTAGCTGGTGAGACGCTTCGTTTGTCCTTATATATTTACATATGTATTTTCGTCTGTTCTCATATAGGAATCGGAGAGGATATCTACGAGCCGTTCGGTACCAAACGATAGAGTGAATCTTTAACGAGTGATATCTTCAATTTGAAGCTGGAGCAAATAGTACGAGCTGCAGAGCTAAAAAGAGAAGGTACAATCTTCTATAAGAGTGTACAGCTGCTGTCGTATGCCGATCATATTGACATTATTGGGCTCAGCAACCGCGCCGCTAGTTCTGCTACCTCCAGGCTTGATCGCTTCTGTATCAAGCCTGGAGGTAGCAGATAAAACGAGACATTTTTCAACTTCTACGCTATTTTATTGGTCCCTCATAAAAATTTAAAACGATTTTGGTTCAATTTTTTCATATGCTACGCACGACCTCCATCACCGTCAACATTTCACGAGTTCAAACTGCAGCCGTTTCAGAAAACCGATCAGAACAATTTAAAATACAAACTTTTTTATCTGAACTTTAAATATAATACATTTTTATTATCGTTTGGTGCATAAATTCTTTCCTTTTCAAAGAAATTGCTGTAGATCCACTTTTTTCGGGTTCAAAAGGAGACTACCCCGAGCCTTAACTGCGAGCATTCGAACTTTACAGGAAAATTTGTTGGTACTCCCTGATGTCTATTATTTTTTTAGAAGAAAAAAGTCGACAATTTTTAATTAAAACTTTAACTCCGTAATTATTACAACTATTGCAGATATAATTTCTAATCTGGCGCCTCTAAATATATTTCATAATTTTTTTTAAATGTTTTTTATTCATTTTCCATCCAAAAATGTCAAAGAAAATTTTTTCCCTTGTGAATTTTCGTTTAAAAAAAACATCAAAGAAAAAATTAAACAAAATTTTAAAATTATTTTATTCACATTATTTCATTTAATGCCTATATTTCCTCAATTATAAAAAAATATATATATATAAATGCGTTATTATTTACACGACGAAGTGGTTTTACATAATAAAAAAGATGATTTCTGGGTAGTGTTGCATGGTAATGTATTGGATCTAACGCCATTTCTAAAAGACCGTTACGATCATTGGAATAGTGTAAGTATAAAACAGCGGGGAAATATATTATTCTGGAATAAATATTTTCCCATTTCTTAGAATTTGGAATATTTGCTAGCCTTCGGCGGCAAAGATCTTTCGCACTTCTTCGAGGAAACACTCATGCCGAAAACGGAAACTTCACCAGTCACAGGACGACCACGTCTGCTCTTTCCACCGATACTGGAAACAGCGCTCAGCGAAATGTGCAAGACACGTGGTAAGATTTGGAGTCAAGATCCGAAGTATCACATTGGCCGTTTGACGCGTCGTGATCGGCGTGTACGCATAATCAATACGCTCACGGGCACTACGCAGCTGATGAAAGTTTGCGATGAGGACACGATCTATGATATAAAGAATAAATATAAACAGTTATTCAATCATCATGCTGGGAGTTATATGTGGCGCAAGTTCTCGAAGAGAGTAAAAAATACTTAAATATTAAATAATTATTTAATTTTACTTCTAATCGTGTGTACTTAGGGTCAATGCGGTGGTAAATTGAATATGAAGGGCACTTTGGATGAGAATGGTTTGTTCGAGGAGGAGGGCTGTCGCTTTGACTTGCCACCACCCTCGATATGGTTGTATTACACTAATGATGTGACTATTGCGTAAATTTTGAGAATTTAATTTCAACGAATAAACTTATTTTTCCTTTTTGAATTATACAAAATAAAAAAACTTTATTTCGGCTTTTGCATTAAGAGGGATCCTTAGTTTCCACCATGGTGCAACACCAGAGCATCTTCATTAAATGAACTCAATTCCACTATATTAACACCCATAATTTTAGAAAACAAACACGAAGACGAAAGTATATTTATTTGCATTGGTCATTTGTAAATTTCAATGTCAAATTGCCTTTGGTCTCCACATAAGACCACATATAGAAAGTACTCTTCAACAGACCAGGCTAAAGGCTGATTTCGTTGACGTGCGATAGTCATCAGCTGAATATTAAATTCTTATTGGGAGCTGCAACAACAAAATAATTAATAAAATAAATCAGTTAACAAGATGATTTTTTTTTTCATTTAAATGAATACAAAATAAAGTCAAATAAGGCCAAATAAGGATAAAATAAACAAAAAACACAAAAATAGAATATTATAAAATAAAATAAAATGAAATAATAAATTATACAAAAATCCAATCAAATAAATTAAAATAAAATAAATAAATACAGAAAGAAATTAAATAAAATTAAACAGAATAAAATATAACAAAAAAATTAATAAAAGCAATAAAAACTTAAATAAAACATAATGAAAAAAAACATCAAGTTATATAAAGCAAAATAGAAACAAAATATAATTAAAAAAAATGAAAATAAAGCAACTCGAAAAAATATTATTAACTTAAATAAAATGAATTAAAATGAATAAAAATAACAAAAAAATAAAATGTTATAAATAAACTAAGTTAAAAAAATAGATTAAGAAAAAATTAAAATAATTTAATAAAGTGAAATAAAATGAAATGAACTAAATAAAAAAAATTGTAATCAAGCAGAGTAAAATGAAATAAAAATATAAAACTAAAAAATAGAATAAAATAATACAACAAATTAAGAAAAAAATTAATAAAATATAGTAAAATGAAATAAAATAAAAAAATATAAAGTTAAATAACAAAATAAAACAATGCAATAAATTAAAGTTAAAAAAAAGAAAATAATAAAACAAAATAAATCTATAAAAACTAATTAAATAAAGTAAAAGTAATTAAAATGCATAGAAATAGCAAAAAAAGTAAAATAAAATAAAATATAGTAAAACAATATAAAATTATATTAAATATTTAAAAAAAAATTTCATTTGATAAAGTAAAATAATTTAAAAAGAATAAAAATAACAAAAAACTAAAATTAAATTAAATAAAAAATAAATAAAATAAACTAAATTAAAGTAAAATAAAATTAAAAATTTTAAAACAATAAACTAAAATAAGATAAAATAAAAGAAAACAAAATTAAACAATTAAAAAAAATTAATAAAACAAAGTAAAGTTAATTAATATGAGTAAAAAACATAAATAACATAAAACAAAATGAAGTAAAACAAAATAAAATAAATAAAACAAAATTCAATTAAAATGCATTATATTAAATTAAAGAAAATAAAACCAAGTAAACCACAACAACAAATTAAAAAAATTTGATACCATAAAAAAATTAAATGTAAATAAAGCACAATTATTCCAATAATTTCCTAGTCAAAACTCATAAATAAAAAAATAAATAAAATAAGAAAAAAAAAAAAAAAAAAAAAAAAGTTCGTGCCACAAATCGTTTGTTTGGCAAAGGAATTTCGCTACATCGGTTATTCTTATTTAATTCGCAAAGCCCACACATTTCTTTTTGTTTAGAAATTTGTTTGTCTAATAATTGTTTATGAAACCTCTCAGTTCACTGAATATGTGCGCAAGCAAAGCAATGCATACATACACGCATACATATACATACACTCGTATTTATGGGCGTTTGATAATTGTTTTCACAACGTCAAATAACAAATGTTTGGTGAGAAAGTCATTTTCTAAGCGCAACTCGTTCAAACATGCCATTATTACTTCTACAATACACACGAATAGTTCCATTTTTACAAACATACACACACATATATATTTATATATAGCTGTATAGCTTTATACATGTTTGCATATAAGGTGCCTTCGCCGGTGGGTGATTTCTGCGACATGTTCGCTTTTGCTTCAATCTTTGACAATGGAATTTCGCATGAGCATTCCACAGAGCAGTCATAAAGGTGGGTAGTGTAAGCAGAGGCGAGAGGCGACAAGACGACATGCGTAAGAAATACTCTACAAGTATATAGAAAGAATACTCGATTTCTCGCTGCTCTTGGCAAAGGTAAACAAAACTTGACATGCGAATTTCCCAAACAACAACAGGAACAACAAACGGATGTGAAGAAAAATTAAGTGAAACTGGAATGGAATGCGGCATTCACAGCGCCCCAACAAACGAGTGGCGGCCATCAAATGCAGCAACAACAACAACCGGTGTTTGTAGTAAAATTCTTTAGGCAGACTTTTAGTTAATTTACTTGTGGATTTTTGTGCGGATTTGCATTTTAATACGTTCATATGGAAATAAAAATTAAAATTCCCTAATGATATCCGTTTTGTTAGTAGAGCAAAAAAAAAAAAAATATTTTCTAAATTATGTATGTGAAATATTTATTTGAAAAATTATGAGAATTTGCTGGAAAAAAAAGTTAAGCAAACAATTAAAAAGAATTTATTTTGAAATTTTCAGCTGCTAAAAATTGAAATAAATTTTAAAGTATTTTTGAAAAAAAAATACCAATAAAATTGCTGGAAATTTATGTTAATATATTAAGTAGTAAAGCACACACATACCCGCACTCACTGAAAGCAGGTCATTTGCTGTGGCATTTCGTTGATTGAAAAAGGAAGTGCCTTTCAAATTTATTTGGTTTGTTTTCTTATGGATTGGCCAAGCCAGACCAAGCCATACCATTATTGGCAGCGGGCGCACCTACAAGAAAGCAACACCAAAGCGCTGATAACCAACAAAATTTATACAAATTAATCCATAGCAGCATATATACATATGTACAAATGTAAATAAGCTAATATACTCGTACTATGTATGGTCACTCAACGCATAACTTCAACTTCCGGGCCATAATAAAGACGAGGCAAGCGAACGAGTAAAGAAGTGAGTAAGAAGTGTTATGACAACGTGACTACTGCTCTGCCGAACGGCGACTGAGGTGGTCAATAGAGTGTGGTACGCGCAAAAGGGTCAAATTACTTTTCATTTTAAATATGCCTTATTTAGTAGCGCCTGGCTATGAAGTATTACACCGCAAAGTGATTACAATAAACACATTTTTTTCTAATAATTCCAAAGCTGCTTTGTAATTGCGATGGGGCAATTCCATACATATGAAACCCTATTATTTCTCAAGTTACCAGTGGTTGGAGTTTGTAGAACACAACTTACGGAGCACCACATATACGTAAGACAAGCTAACCATTTTGCCTTTCGAGGAGCTGCAACTGGGGACTTTTTTTTCATTCTTTTGATCGTAGATACATACAACTCGATGATATGCCGATCAAAACAAAAAAGATTTGGAATAAGAATTTTAAAATATTTGAGGGTTGGAAAATGTACTTTCCCAAAATATGCGTTATGAGGCGTTAGAACGGGCATAAAGAACGATTTTGTGTATATTATTCTCAAGACTCAGATGAATGCCTAATACTAAGGACTTATTAAAGGATTTTCAATCTCCCATATGGTGTTAAAACCTTGCCGAGTTAATCCCATTACCATAAATAGACCATTTATTCCTCATAAAAGTATGGCTTTAGTTGACTGTGTTGTTAGCTGGCTTAGGTGAGGTTCAGTTGAAGCAACTCATCTCAGATATTTCACATATATCTTTGAGCAGCTAATGCCAATATCTGCCCGTAAGTGATGCGGAAGTTTTCAGTATCAGTCTCGCAAACGCATCAGAGCTCATACGAAAGCCAATTGATGGTTCCATCTCTTCCTCCAGCTAATTGCGATTGAGAAGCTCAGACAAAATTCCAAGTTCTATTACGTTAATGTCTGCCGGTCCATCTTAGGAATCCAAGGTCTACCATAAACCAAAAGTATCTCGTATTGGCGCATCAGCAGTTGCTATTTCAGCACGCACAGAGCTGGGTCAATGCTCACTTCAAAACCACACCATTGATTTTTAATCCGAAGTAAGTCGGCACCTCGACGGGTGCAACAGCCGAGTGGTTAGTATTATGTACTGCCAATTTGAAAGCCAAGATTCGAAGCCTGGTTTGATCAACATCCGAAAATGATAGGAGCTAGACCGAAAATCGGTTCATTGGTTACAAAGCGCCAGGTTACAAAGCGCCAGACAGAGATAATAACCATTATCTAGTTGAAAGTTTGAGAAAATTTTGAACTGCTTTAATATTACGACAATGGTCTTTAAGCCTGAACCCCCGCCGATCAAGAATCTAAGTGCTTCGTTCACCCTTTTACCCATTCAGTACTCCCGTGAGAACATAATAGTGTGGAAAAGGTCATTCGCTAGCAACTCGGAGGCATACTAATCCATGCAGCTAGAGATGAAGTAGAGCCTCTAAAGGGAATGGAGTCTCTAACACTCGGGCCGACCAAATATTCAGACTCCGAAAGTCTAACTGCTAAAACTACACTTGACTTTGAGGGTTAAGTTTCGGGAAATTAATGCCAGTAACATCACACAAGCTAATGATACTCATATGAGAAGATCCCCAGTTGTTAAGCTAATACAACTCCTCCTACCAACCTACCTAGTACTCACAAACTCCCTAAAACAAGCTAGACATGTCTGTAATTATGTAGAAGCAATTTTTACCTTAGCAAGAGATGAGTACCATCTCATGCTGATAGTGATCATACAGCTCTAAACGATTTCCTCACCAAAATTTTTTTTTAACTATTTCTCTTTGTCGAGCAGAGGAAAGCCTCCCCATGGAAGGAATGTTGACTTCGAGGGTTCTACACAACCTTTTAAATAAGACAAGGTCGCCCAACTTTATAAACAGCTTTGGGAAAGAATCCTCTTTCGTCGTGTTTTCCAACAAATTTTCGAAAACTTTTGGTGAGAACTTGCGGTGTACCAATTCGCAGTTACCGCC